GGTGGAGGCCTGGAAGGTTTGAGCTGGCTTTGGACGGCCGAGAATCCGTAGAGGCCGTGAAGGTGGGCAGAAGTGAGCCTTCCCTCTCCGTCTTACCTCCCAGGGGCAGAGAGAAGACCCACAGGGACTATAATCCCAGGGACTGTAATCCCAGCGACTCAGGAGGCTGAGGCAGGAGGCTCACACTTCAAGGCCAGCCAGGCCCATATTTGCCTGATACTGTGTAGCAGGGGAAGTCTGTGATGTCCAGCGGGGCATCTCCTGCTCCCTTTGTAGCATCAACTCCTAGCAGACAGAAGAGGAAGTGACATGTGGTCATGGGGTCTGAGATCTGCAAAGTAAGGAGCTGGTGAAACCCTTGCTGGCATCTGGGGAGGGAGGACACATCTAGTGACCTGTTGGGGGGGGTCACGGGGTGGGGGCTTCTCTAGGGTGCGTTCACGTTGGCAGAAGGGGGTAGCTCTGCCTGTGGGTGCAGGACCTACGGGCGATTTTAGGACCCTGACAGGGCAGAGGTGCCCGAGGACCCGTGGCAAGCTGTCTCCTAATTTTTCGTGGCTGGGTGCTCTCCATGAAGTCCTCCGTGGGGGGCCGTTGCACATGGACGTCCCTGCCTTAGACAGTAATCTGGTCTCCTCGCCAAGTGTCCCGCTGTGAATCTCGGGCAGGGCTGCCCTCCCCAGGGACCCTCCACCATCTGGGGCCTTTGTGACTCTGGGAGGGAGGGGAGGCAGCCCTGCGGGGCCCTGCTGAGTGTGGGGGGGCAGGCCTGGGGCTGGTGGAGACACTGGGAGGGCCTGTCCCTGCAGTGGGGCCTGTGTCTGTGTCCTGTGGTCACTGTAACAAATCACTGGAAACCGGGCGGCTTAACAGGGCAGAAGGCTGAGTTCCAGGAGTCGGTAGGGCCTTGCTCCCTCCCAACAGCCCAGGGTAGGGTCCTCCTGGCTTTTCCCAGCCTCTGGGGACCCTAGTGTCCCTCAGCTTGGGCTGTATCCTCCAGTCTCTGCCTTGGTCTTTTCGTGGCCTCCTCCTCTGAGCCTCTGGCTCTGAACTCTCCCTCTGCCTTTTTCTTAAAAGGACACTTGTTGGTGTCCCTCCTAAATCCAGGATGTTCTCATTCTCAGGATCCTTAACTTGATTCCATCCCAAAGACCTTTTCCAAATAAGCTCCTGTCCTTCCCAGTTCTGAGGTTGGCATTGGGCATGCCTTTATGGTTTTTTTTTTTTTTTTTTTTGGTACTGGGAATTGAACCCAGGGGCGCTTAACCACTGAGCCACACCCCCAGCCCTTTCAATTTTTTATTTTGAGATAAGGTCTCACTAAGCTGCTTAAGGCTTTGCTAAGTTGCTGAGGCTGGTCTCTAACTTGTGGTCCTCCTGCCTCAGCCTCCCGATCTGCTGGGATTACAGGTGTGCACCATGTCACATGGTGGACATGTCTCTTTTGAAGACATTATTCAAGCCATTAAGGAACCTTAGAGGAAAGTGGGGTCTCAGGTTGAAAAAAGAAGACTGTTGCACCCAGTGTGGTGATGCACGTCTGTAATCCTAGTGGGTCAGGAGGCTGAGGCAGGAGGATTTCAAGTTAGAAGCCAGCCTCAGCAACTTAGTGAGGCCCCGAGCAATTCAGTGAGACCCTGTCTCTAAATAAAATACAGAAAAGGGCTGGGGATGTGGCTCAGTAGTAAGTGCCCTTGGATTCAATCCCTAGTACCAAAAAAAAAAAAAAAAGAAAAAGAAAAAAAAAGACTGTTCCTTCTCTGTTCCCAAGGCCTGTCTTCTGAGGCTCCTTCTGGGCTCTCTGCCCAAGTTAAACACTTGTGTTTCAGCCGGTAGTGAGTTCCATAGAAGTCCCAAGCTCCCGGAAGGGCTGGGAGTAGGCTCGTGGTAGGGAGTAGGCAGTGTCCAGCTTTGCTCCCAGAGAGCCCACACACCCTCCCTGAAGCCACTGGTGTGGGAGGGAGGGGTGTGGACGACGTGGGCACCAGGCAGGCTCCGGGAGGAGGCCATAGTGAGCCTGGTTTGGGGGCCTGGTTCTTGAGGAGGAGGAGGAGGAGGAGGAGGGGTGCTGGTTTGGGGCTGGCATGGCCCGGCTGGCCCCTCTCTATTCAGGTATGGCCCTCTGAGACAGACAGGAGGTCCTCTGGGAACAGGGAGGGGCTGGGAGTGGTTGGAACACGGTTTCCTTGGGGAAGGGGTCGCCCCCCAGCACGGAGGGGCTTCTCCTGCTGCTCCTTTTCGCTGCTCTTAGAGTGCGGTGATCTGTGTCACCCCAGCCATCAAGAATAACTCAGCCAGCATGGTGGCACAGGCCTGTGATGCCAGCGACTCAGGAGGCTGAGGATCGCAAGTTCAAGGCCAGCCTGGGCAGCTTACGTAGACCCTGTCTCAAAACAAAAAGGAGGGCTGGGGGTGTAGCTCAAAGGCAGCGAGCTCCTGGGCTCAATTCCCAGAACCAAAAAAAAAAAAAAGAACCAGATTCCCCCCCTGGGTCCTGGTGGTCACCATCCTGATGGCAGGGTGGCTCCCCCGGCGAGGACCCGGTGATGCAGGGTAGCAGACTCCTGGTAGATAACAGCCAGGCCGTGAGCCCAGAGGTCACTAGGGTGTGCTTGAGGACGGCAGTGACATGAGCCTTGAAGGGACGCAGCATAGAAAGTAAGGGCAGCTGGCCGCGGACACAGACGAGCAGCGTGGACACAGCCTGCCTGTGCGCAGGGGCGGCCCTGGCCGGGTCACCACGATACTCCACCCGCAACGCCGTGTGGTGGCAACGGGGTGCCTCCAGGTGGGCTCCCAGGGAGGGGCTCTCCAGATGGGGGCACAGACTCACTGGGACTCCGAGGGCAGGCTCTGCTTCCTCCCTGGGGCAAGCCTGGTCACGGTCTCCCCTCACCCAGTGTCTGCTGTGCAGCTGGCCGCGAGGAACAAGGGCGGGAGGTAGGGGGTGGTTCATAGCACAGGGCGCCCCATCTGGGGCAGTTTGGACCACGCACTGGAGGCTGGGGGTATACCAGGTGACCTCAGGTGACTAAGGGGAGTACACGGGGTACTAAGTTCTAAGGACCGTTAGCCCTGGGCATCCCTCTTACTTAGTTCCGAGCCTTAGACTTCCTGGCTGGGGTGACCTTAACCCCAGCCTATCACGCTTCTTAGAGCCAAAGCAGGCAGTGTGTACGTAGGGTGAATCCCCTGCTGGCCCAGTGACAGGGAGAGTTACACCAAGTTGGAATCTGGAGCTGTCACCCCCTGGCTCAGAACCCTGCACCCAGTGGCCACATTATCACTGACGCCACTGGCTGGGCCTGTGAGCAGCTGAGGTTTGTGGGTGTGATCTTGTTGGGCTGCGCTGCACCTTGTTGTCATCATTTATCTACTTTGCAGTGCTGGGGACGGAACCCAGGCTCTTGCCCATGCTAGGCAGGTCCCCCACCACTGAGCTACAGCCCCAGCCCCAAGCCTCGAACTTGTGATCCTCCTGCCTCAGCCCCCCAAGTCGCTGGGATCAGCTACCATGTGCACCCCCGGGTCTGGCTGCAGTGTGATCTTTCAAAGGCCTTGTTTTGCTTCGGGCCGGCATTTAAGGATCAGGAGGTATCATATAGAAATGCAGAAGCTCTGGCCACCCTGGGCCCCTGTTCCTGCAGGGCAGAGATGGCTATTAGCACCTGTCACTACCTGGTCACACCTGCCACTCAGCTCACATTTCCCTGTCTGGCTTCAGGACAAGTGAGGGCGGGATGCCCAGAGCTAGCGGTCCTCATGTGAGTGCTGTCTGGGAAGCTGGTGGGCTCCACGGTCAGGCCTCAGAGCCGGGGCCGCCTCTGCCTCCCACCTCCCTGCCACCCGCCCCCTGCCCCCTGCCTCTCCAGCACCCACCAGCCCCTGGTCTTCCGAAGGAGGTGCTGGCCCTGCGGACACAGGAACTCTTCTGCATTTGGAGGCCAGAAGGCTGAAGGGTCTTGCCGAGCTGTTGCTGAGTGCCGGGACGGGCTGTCGGCCCTTTTCCCTGTGGGGAGGGGAGGAGGCTGTGGGGTCCCGTGAAGTCCTGGGCTCTGGGGGCTGTAGGGCAGAGGAGGGTTGGGTCGCTCGGGGAAGGAGCTGGGGAGGGCTCCTGCCACGTGGGCCTCTCCCTGCTGGCCGTAACCAGGCAGCTGGTTCTCATTTGGTGGGAGGCTGCAGGGTGGGGGAGGGCGGCTTTGCAGGCACCACCCGCGGCCTTGAGGGAGCGGACCCCGGTGGAGGGGGCGGGAGAGCTGGGTGCTGGGCTTCAGTGGTCCTCGTCCCTCAGGGCCAGGCGTACAGGATGGAGAATGTGGGGGAGGGAGAGGACTGAGGAGCTGGCCAGCGTGGACCCAGCTGGGGAACTGGACAAGCAAGGGGAGACAGGGCCGACCAACAGCCTGGCTCTGCCATTTGCTCTCCACGCCATCGGCCCGTTGCTGAGGTGCCTCCTGCCTCGGTTTCCCTGTCTGTGTCAGAGGGAGAATGTTCTCTCCGTCACGGGTTGTCGGGGGCCGTAGGTGCGCCTGGGCCGGCGAGCCCAGCGCTGTGTAGGAGAAGTCGCGGCGTCCACCGTTGTCCACGGGGTCTTCGTGTCCTGTCCTGATCGGAGCCGTTATGGGTGCAGTTTGGTCCTGGGGGACGCGTCCTCCTCTGGCTCAGTGGTGTCTGAGTGCCTGCTGGGGCGGGGGGGGGGGGGGCGAGGGGGAGCCAGAAAGCCACACCTAGAAGAAATCCAGGCCCCTGCGAGCCGGAACGTTCTGTAGGTGGGCCCCCATGCCGTGGCCTTGGCGGGGCAGTGTCCGTCCTGCTCCACTGTCTTTGTCCCCAGAACTCTTGATTGCTGGTGCCCTGGGAGTCCTCTGGGAGGGGCCTGTCCTTTCTCTTAGTCCCCTGTGGTCCAGCCGACTTACCTTCCTGGACGCTTCCTTAGCCCAAAGCACGCACTTGCCTAGCGTCCCCTGCGGCCACTCACCACGTCCTCCTCTGTCTTTCAGCCTTGAAGAGATCCTTCGAGGTCGAGGAGGTCGAGCCACCCAACTCCACCCCGCCCCGGCGGGTCCAGACGCCCCTGCTCCGTGCCACTGTGGCCAGCTCCACCCAGAAATTCCAGGACCTGGGTGTGAAGAACTCAGAGCCCTCCGCCCGCCATGTAGACCCCCTGGGCCAGCGCTCGCCCAAGCCTGCCCTGCGGAGAGTGGAGCTCGCGGGGCCCAAGGTGCCTGAACCTGTGTCCCGACGCACCGAGCTCTCCATCGACATCTCGTCCAAGCAGGTGGAGAACGCGGCCACCCCTGGGCCGGCCCGGTTCGGGCTCAAGAGGGCCGAGGCGCTGGGCCACAAGACCCCAGACCCGACCCCTCGGAGGACGGAGATCACCATCGTCAAGCCCCCAGAGCCAGCCCACCGCAGGATGGAGGCCCCTGCCTCCAAGACCCCCGAGGTGCCTGCCAGCCCTGCCATCGACGCAGCCCCCAAGAGGGTGGAGATCCAGGTGCCCAAGCCGGCCGAGGCTCCCGCCTGTCCCCTCCCACCCCAGACCCTGGAGAATTCGGAGCCTGCCCTGACGTCTCAGCTACAGAGCAGGCTGGAGCCCAAGCCCCCGGTGGCCGAGGCCCTGCCCAGGAGCCCGGAGGGTGAGTATCTGGGCTGGGTCCTCCAGCCTGTGCAGGAGGGGATGGGCTTTGACGTGGGGTCACTGGGGGAGCCGCTCACGTGGGGGAGATGCTCTGTGGAGATGGAGGAGCTGGACGTGCAGGGCAGCGTCCCAGCGCTCGGGCGGTGCCTGGCTCCCTGACCCCTGGGACCGCCCCAAGATGCGTGAGGACTTGGACTCTGGAAACAGTCCATGGATTGCAAGGGAACCCCTTCGTTGGTCCCCAGGGGCTGTGGCAGGACTCTGTGCTGTGATCCTGGGGGCCGGAGGGTTGGAGAAGAGTGGTTAGTGCTGGACGACGGGGTGGGGTTGAGAGCTGCAGACGGGCCTGCAGCCCCTGGCTGCTGGGAGAGGTCCTGCCAAGAGGGACCACAGGCCTGGAAGTGCCCGGCAGAGGCCGAGGCCCAGTGGGGAGGCAGGCTCCCTTGTCCTCCTGGGCTTGCTGGGGAGCCCTCTCTCCTGCTGACTCTGTGCCTGGGCCTCTCTCCCTCCCCCTCCTCCTCCCTGGGGAGGGATGGCCGTGGCCAGCAGCCTGCTGGGGAAATGGCCAAGGCCCCTGGGAAGGGGTCCCTGGACCCAGGGGGCTGTGGTACCTGCACCCACCTTCATCTGGGGGTGCTCTCTCTGTGGTCTTCTCAGAGCACCCACGGGGAGACGGGCCAGGCCTGCGGGGGCGTGCCGGGGCTGAGGGCACTGTGGTCCTCAGAAGTGTGCTTGTCCCAACTCGGCCCTTCCCAGGCTCCCAGTGAGAAGCGCCTATGAAGGGGTGCGGGGTCATCGGCCCCTCAAAGCTGAGTGTGGGGCGCAGGACTTGGAACTCGCTGGTGTCCCGTGGTGTTCTTTGGTTAGACAACCCGGGCAGGCTGCCGGGGTCACAGGCGTGAGCCAGCACCTGGCTTTTCGTTATTTTTAACTGTGGTGAACACAGCAGTGTTTCAGCCGCTTTTAGGCTGTTGTCCCGGCTTCTCCAGAACTTTACGTCTCTGTCTCCTTCAAGCCACTCCCAACCCCTCTCTGCTCCCCGAGGCCCTCCTGTCTGTCTCAGCAGTTGGGTGGCCCACAGGGCCGTGTCTCTCTGGAAGTGCATCTCACCGTACTGGTCTTTTTGTGGCTGGCTTATTTCACTCAGTATGATGTCCTCGAGGGTCACCGGGTCACAATCTCCTTCCTTTTCAGGGCTGAATACTACTCCGTGCATGCATATCCTGCATTTTGTTCCCTTTCCCGGGGCCTCTGGGCAATGCTGCTGTGAGCCTGGGTGCCCTGCAGCCCTTTCAGTACCTGCTTTCGGTTCTCCTTGGTTTTCCTTCTGGAATGAGGCCCTCCCCGGGGTCAGGGTGGGGATGGATGTGCAGGCCACACCCTTGCCACTTGCCCTTGCACACAGAGCGCCTGCGCCCTGCTGAGCGCTCCTTTAGCTCAGGAGGCCTGGGGTCCTGGGGCTCTGCATTTCCCGTGCCTGGCATCGGGCTGCCCTGAGTTGTGAGGCTGTGGCGACCTTTGAAGGTTCCTCCAGCCCTGGGTGTGAGTCTGTCTCTCTAAACTTGACCCTGCAGAGCCCCCCCGCCCCCGCCATCCACCAGGCCGGACGTCCAGGGCTGCCCCGGGTGGGCAGGGTGTTGGGGCTGTTTCCCCCACCCCCCGTCTTCTGTTGGTCCACGTCCTGGTTGGCTGTGCCACCGTATGCACCCCCTCCTGGGAAGAGGTGTTCACGCTCCGCTGAGTCAGACAGGATGTGGTGGGGAGGCAGCAGGCCGTCCAGATCCTGCGACAGCTGGTGCTGGGCGCACCAGGAGGGGTCCTGGCTCTGCAGCTTCCGCTCAGGGTGGCACTGCCAAGGATGTGCCCCGGGGTGCCAGTCTTCCCCGGCACAGACAGCTCAGCCCCGCTTTAAGCAGAGTCTGTGCCAGGCGCTGGGGCACAGGGGCAGTCCTGTGGCCTCTGCCCTCCGAAGCTGGCCAAGCCGCAGGAAGGGTGGTGGGTGGACGGGGGCTGAGGGCAGAGAGGGGGGCCTGCCTGGGAGGGGAAGGCCCCCTAGTGGGGCCTGGGGCGCTGCACAGAGCCCCGGGGAGTAGTCACTCCCACGGCTTCCCAGATGCCCCGGCCACTGAGGGCCCGGCCTGGGAGCCCAGCTCCTGTGGGGAGGGCCGTGTCCTGTGCTCCTGTGTCCTGTGCTCCTCTGTCCGCGTGGAGCAAGGGCAGGAGACGGGAAGGGTAGAGCCTTCCCAACGGAGCAGTGTTCCTGAAATCCCTGGCCCCTCCTCAGGGTCCCGCCTGCTTCTCTGTCCCCTCATCTGTTCACAGCCTGACCTGTGCCTCTGGACACAGACTGGCCCTCTCTCCTGTAGACCCAGCTCGCTGTCCCCTTCCACCTCATGGGGGACCAGGTTGGAAGTGACCAGAGTCCCCTGCAGACTCTGCTATGACTGCCCTCTGCAGACACCAAGCTGCCCCCTGTGCCCGAGGGCCAGCTGGCGTGGTGGGAGGAAGGACCCGGGAGGGAGCGAGCTCCTTAGACGCTCAGCCCCTTGGCCGCTGCCTCCAGGGCCTGGCCCAGCTGCTTCCAGACCAAGGCCCTGAGGGCACAGCAGTGAGGTCCACTCCCACCTGGGGCTCACTCGCCTGGGCCCCACTCCAGCTTTTCTCTGGTCTCCACACTGTTCCTCACAACCACAGTCCCTGACCCCTGGTCCCCGTCCCCATCACTGCTTTGTGGAACTCCTGTGTGTCCCTGCGACTCCTGTGTGTCCCTGTGACTCCTGTGTGTCCCTGAGCGTCCCTGTGACTCCTGTGTGTCCCTGCGACTCCTGTGTGTCCCCGTGACTCCTGTGTGTCCCTGCGACTCCTGTGTGTCCCTGCGACTCCTGTGGGTCCCTGTGACTCCTGTGTGTCCCTGCGACTCCTGCACATCCCTGCGCGTCCCTATGACTCCTGTGTGTCCCTGCGACTCCTGTGTGTCCCTATGACTCCTGTGTGTCCCTGCGACTCCTCCGCATCCTCCGGGCCGTTTTGCTCTTTCTCCTGTGAAATACCTGATATTTGGCTTGGGATCTAAGCTCTTTGGGTATGAACCTTCTTTTCTTGGCTGGATGTGTTTTTTCAATGGAAAAGTAGTTTTTCAGGTTATAAAAAGTAACAGCTCTCCTTCCTTAGAATGCAGAAATCACAGACAGTAGAGGGAAGCCCCTTTGCCGGGGCCAGCGTGCGTGCTCTTGAGCATTTTCCTGGACGCTCTTCAGGATCCTTCCCTTCCCCCAGTGGCATCTAGGTCCCTGGAAGGTGGGCTGTTGCCTTTGGTTTGGGAGAATCCCACAAGACGGCTGGTAAGGGACTTGGCCCAGCAGGTGCTCCACTGACAGTGTTGGAGTGGCCCACGGGAGTGGCCCACGGGTGCTGACATGAGCTGGCTTTTCGTGGCTCTTGCAGGTGGTGCAGGGACCCTACGGATCCCTCGGGGACCCCAGGACTGAGCAGATGCTTTTCCTGCCGACTTCGCCCGGGCCACCTGCTTGCCGGCCAGCTGGGGTCGCCTGCGGTGCTGGGGCAGGTGGTCGCGGAGGACTCTACAGGGCTTGCCGCAGGTTTTGAGCGCGTGACGCGGGGTGGTCCTGGAAGGGTCGGCATTCAGGGGCCGCAGTGGGCTGAGGGTGGCTGAAGAGGAGCCCGAGGAGTGCGGGCAGCTGAGGGTAGAGGCCGCCTTGCTCCTCCCGGCCCGGGGCTGTTGAGGCCTCAGCCTGCGCTGCGCTGGATTCTGTGTTTCCTGAGCCTGGCCCTGGCCCTGGCCCTTGGCCCCTGCTTGCTGTCCTTCCCTCAGAAGGGACTTCATCCTCTTCAGGGTCATCCCCGGTCCATTCCGTCTGTGGGTAGGGCTGGGCTGTAGGGCTGCTGGCTGGGTCCCTCCCGGGCCAGGCTCCCGAGCTCCCGGCGGCCTTATAAGGTGCGCTCCCTGCGCGACTGCGATGGTGCCTTCTCTGGGCTGCGGGAGCCAGGCTGAGTTCCTGGGTGCGTCCGGCTCCACCCAGGAACCCCGAGCTCTTACCCTCCAGGCCTCTGTTTTTGAAGCTGTCAGTGAGGAGGGTGTGGATGGCGGGCCCCAGATCTGCGTGGGCTCTGCTGCCAGTGGGTGGTCCCCGGTGGTGCCAGGGGCTGCGTGTGAGGGAGGCCCAGGGGTGGGCAGGCGTTGCCCTGTGACTCCAAACCTTTGGGAACAGCATGGGTGCGGCTGCGGGTGGGGCACTCAGGTCCCCGCTGAGGGACATGGGGATGTCCTCACCAGGCCTGTGTGCAGGGCGGGGGGCCAGGGGGGCTGCAGGACAGTGAGGTGCTGAGTGGGTTAACCAGCAGAAGGTTCCCTGGGACCACCGGAGGGGACTGGAGGGTCTGAGGAGTGGAGTCATCAGCCAGGGGACGTGGACTGTGTACCTGGCCCCGCCCGGGAGGACTCAGGGTGCCAGCACTGCGTGGGGTCGGAGAGTGAAGTGGGGAGAGGGTGCCCCCAGGACTTAAGGGAGGAAGTGTCCCTGCCTCAGAGCCCCTTCGCAGTCCCATGAATTTGTAGGACGCCACATTCTGCAGGGTGCCCCGTGGGCCATCCCTGGCCTGGGCATTCCCCGGCACCGGCCGGAGATGCATTTCTGCTTTTGCAGAGACACAGCCCGTGTCCAGGAGGGGCATCCTGCTGGACTCTTACCGTGAAGACAGCCCTCTGCTCCGAGCCCCTCCAGTTTTCCTGACTCGCCCCAGGGGGCACCCGACACCCCATTACCCTGTGACGGACCTTCCCCTCCCCTGGTCGGAGGCCCACCTTCTGAGCTGCCTGGTCTGCAGGGGAAGCCCTGACCTGGGGGACAGGGGGACCTGTGGGGGACGGGCCAGGCCAGGTGGGTCTCCAGGGTGGGGACAGCGAGGACAGAGCCTGTCTCTGTGGTTTAGGACAAAGAGCCCCTCCCTGGCTGGCCGGTGGCCCAGCTGTCCGCCAAG